AAAGTTGCTAATTATTGCCCTGGCCCTGTGTATTTTGGTTTTACTAATTTTACAAACCTACATATACTTGCTGCTGTGTTTCATCCAGGAGTCTGAAGTTGCCCTTTTTCTATCAAATGTGTTTACACCACAGAAAAGGTGTGTTTTGTCAGTTTTGTTTGCCCTAGCCAGGTCTGAGCTGTATAACCAGCACTCACTCTGGATAGCCACTGGTCTGGCTGACCTTGGCACCATGACAGCTGTCATATTTTCACATGGAGGAACTGTTCTTGAACAACTCCTCCAATGTATCAGGAACAAACAAGCTTTTCTTCAGCATCAGGAATGCAGCAGGTCTTCTTTCCAACTATTTTTTTTCTCCTTCCACAGACGTATTTATTGTGGCAATGGCAAGAAAATCCTACTGCTAAGCCTTCGTGTTTGAATCCTTTAAATTTCCTTCAGGGGAGTGACAGAAGAGCCAACGTAGATCATGTCAGAGCTTGCTTTCTTTAATTTAACTCTTCAGTTATTTTTAATAAACATGAGTATTAATTTGTAGTGGCAAGAAAAGCAGGAAGGCAAAATCCTCTTACATCTTCATTACTTCCATTTCTGCCATGTGTTAAATTTAAATCCCTGTGGTGGTGGCAAAGAGCAGGATGCTTCTGGGGAAGGTGTTGCACAAACTCAAAGTGTTTGGTGTGCGATGGAAAATGAGGCCAGCAGGGAGTGGCAGGGAGTATGTTAAACAAGTGGAGTGACCTCCAGCTGGTCTTGTGCTCACCAGATCCATCAGTGGAACAAGGGGAATCAGAGCATGGATGGGGCAGGAGTGAGGGTAGAAATGGTTTGAGAAGCTGGAAGTCACAGTAGCAACCAGGCCTGGAGTTGAGTTCCTCCCTAGCAGAGGGTGAGAGCACAGTTCTACTGGCACCAACATCTTTTTGGAAATGCAGCAGTTTTGTTAGAAAAAAACCACAACTTCATCTCCAAAAAAGGAATTTCTATTGAATTGCAAGAAAAGGAGAGAATATTCTCAACAGCCAATAGCACATTTTTTAAGGCTTTTGCATGGCAGACAGAAGTTCACATTCTTTTGGGGCCTGATCCAGCCCAAGGGTTTGTATTTAACCAGAGGATGTATTTATACATTGGGCCTTGCAGTTACTCAGGGATTTGTAGTGCATTCATGGCACAGATTAACTGCTCAGCAACTTCACTTCCTCAGCAGTTTTTGCAGCCTGCCCTGAGCAGCATTGTAGGACACCTGAATATAATCTAAAATTATCTGGTTTTCCCCCAGAGTTCCCTTGCTTACACTCCAGCCATGTCTCTGTGGGTAAAGGTGATGCATGGACTTCTCTGGTTTAATACCAATGCAAGTTTTTGTTCCTGGACCTGAGCTGACTCACATGGAGCTGGATTGTGTTTCTCTGCTCCACATGCACAAATGCTCTTCACACCAGGGATGGCAGTAGTCAGGAAGGGAGTCAGAAAATATGTTTTGGTTGATTAATGAAAAAAACCCCAAACCTTCAATGGTAGCAATAAGGATAATTGATGACTGACTCCTGTGTGGCAGAAGAGCGAGTGTTCAGCAGTCACATAAGTTTGGAGAGAGAGTTGAAGATTTTATTGACACTCCTGTGTTTTGCACTTTTTTTTTTCATCTTGGAAATGAATTTCAGACCCCAGTAGTGAGTATTAATGCTATATATCCTCTGTGGTTAGCATTAATGGTACACAGTCCTGCCAAATGCAGGGAAAGTTAGAATTGAAAAAAAAAAAATAACCCACTGTGAAGAAGCTCAGTGAGAGCAAATGGGGATGGAGGCTTATGCTTAGAAAGAGCTCAGCTCTGTTGGCACTTCTCCTGGACCAGTGCTGTCAATCCAAATCTGAAATATTTGCAGAGTGAAGTGTTGCTAATGAGCAACGCTGGCAGGACTGGGCTTGAGGTGGTGAAGGCACCTGAACAATCCATCTAAAGCAGGAACCAAGAGCCTGGGCTGAGCCCCATGGATCAAACTGCTCTGCTCTCCTCTCCTCTTGTCTTAATCTGTTCTCATCCTCCTTCCTGCCAAGGTGGGGGACCCAACAGCCAGGGTGGTGCCAGCCCAGGAGCTGCTCAGCTCCTGCTTGGATGAATATGGAATGCTTCTTGTGGCCGGGGGGACTCCAGCCCTGGTGTGCTCCCAAACAAAGTGCAGCCCCATCGTTTGTTTTGTCTTTCAGTAGAATTAAAATACAGCACTTGGCAGAATGTGTTCTGTAAACTGATGACTATTTTTTTTTTTGCTTAACATGCAGTGAGTGAACTTGGCTGTGTGAGCTTTGCGTTCCTCTGAAAATGCTGTTATTTTTGCAAGTTAATTTTTTTCTGGAGTTGGTTTAATTCAAAAGAAGTTTTGTTTGCTTGCTTGCTTGCCTGAGGTTTTTTGGTAGGTTTAAACAGATGAGCTTCATTTCTTCTGCAGTTTATTTTGGTGAAGCTTCTGTAGCCTTTGGGGGTTATAGCACAGTGCAAATGGAGTTAGACTGTGAAACTTTGGGTTAGCGTTTTGCAGACCCCAAAAAGCAAACTCTTGTATTTCAGAGTGACTTTCCAAGCCTTTGAGTTGACATGAATTCAGAGTTTGTAAGGGAATTGAAGGCCCAGTGTTTCTCCATAGACCTTCACAAAGAGATTTCCATCTTTTTTGAGGAACCCTTAATCAACCCACCAACCCTCATTGCCCATTATTTGCGTGCAATGCGAATAAAAACCAGGAACCTTTAGCTATTTTTAACTTTTCCATGCCCCAGCTCCCCTCAGGGCCGGGGTGTTGCTCTGGGGCTGTGGCAGACCGGGTGGGCAGCTGCTGGACTCAGCCCTCGGCGAAGCCGCCAAAATCCCGCGGTAAGCCCAGGGCAGCGCCAGCTTCTCCCCAAAGAGTGAGTGGCTCTGAGAGGTTCTGCCACATAAGGGCCTGTTCGAGGCTGTAGGCACCAGCTGACAGGGATGTCTTTGCCTCTGAACAGATGGCCAGGCTTTTTATTTCAGCGAGCAATCTCGTGTGGAGGGGTGGTCTCCAAATCCTGCCAGGGTTTCGCGAGACAGGGCCAGCTTAGGGCAGGAGGGATCTGATGTCTGTGCCCTTCATAGCTCCTGAGCTAAATGACGAGCTGTTGACAGGACAGCCATCATCTGAAGTGGAAGATCCCCAACTCTCCCCACTTTTCGTTTTTCTTTGGCGGAATTAATGCCCTATTTGCTTGTCTCTCAAAATCCATTCTGGCACAAGTACAAATCCTCGCCTGGTGGCAAGCAGTTGTCTGGATCCGAGATGCCAAGATTTGTGCTGACAGCTCCTTCTACACAATCTGAGTCAGGCTGTCACAGCTGGCCATTAGCAGCTTAAAAAGACACACATGTACAGCAAATAGCACCACCTTTCCCTTATTGAATATCAGAACCTGCTTGATTGAGAAATGCAATGACTTGCACTGCTCTTTCCTTTAAACAAACACTGCCTCCAAACCCCTGCTCCACTGCAGTGGATGTTTATTTTATGTGGATTGCTTGCTCTTATTTAGAAGCTCAGGTCTAGAAGAGACTTCCTGGGCCAGAGATCTAGTCCTTGATAATCCCAAGCATCACATTTGATAATCCTCCTCATTACATTGTATTTTTTAAAATGAAAACAGTCCCTTGTAGTTTTGATTTATCGTCGCAGCCGTTTGCCTTGTATGATTTCCTTGACATGGAGGAACAAGCAGCAAAACCTGCCTTGCTGAGGGGCAGCATCACAACTAGAGCAGGGCAAAGAATGCTGCTCATCAAAAAGGGATTTTCTGAAGCTGTTTACCCTGCAGTGTTGCCTTTCTTGGTGACAGTCTGTGCAAATTCTGCTGATCTAGCATTCAGTTTGGGTGCTAAAAGAGGGCTGCTTGCAAAAGTTAAGGTTCAGATTTAAAGTAACACAGGATCAAACTGTTCCCCACCCCACTCCTGTATGTGGGAACAGGGCAGAGGAACTTCTGCTTAGTCACTGATAGTTATTGCACATCTAATGCTGCCCTGTCTGGTTACACTGGGCTTTAAACTTGCTGTAGGATTAAACTTTGCACGGCTGAGCTTTAGTAGACCTTAGTCTATAGTTTATTTTGGACAAAAGGCTGATAAACTTTGGCTTTCGGGGAGGAAGCCTGGAATCTGAGACCCACTATTATTCATTGACTTGTCTTTATGAGTTTAGAGTCCACTGATGCATAACACTGAAGGAAATATTTTCAGTGAAATGTTTGCTTTTTTCTTTGGCTTTGTAAAAGGCAATGTCTTTTCTTAGAGATATATGTCAGGGTCATATAGCTACTTCAGTGAACTGTGTATGGTCAGGAAATAGACTGCATCAAAAACATTTCATTTTTCCATGAAGTCATTCTTTTGACCAAGGCTTCTCCCTTCTCTCAGGGATTTGGGCTCCACTAACCACTATTTGAGCATTAATTTTATGCACAATCTCGGTTTAATCCTGGGGGGAGATTTCAACTGTATGGAACATTTTCAGTATTTTTGTATTAAATCAAAACTTGTGGGTGACAGTGAACTTGCAAAACAAAACCCCATTTGTATCCAAGGGAATTTTCATGTCTAGCATTTTTCTGTCCCTTTTTTGCTGTGCTGAAAAACGTGTGTCTGAAAAATTGTGTCTGTTCCTCATTGCTGGGGATGGCACAGCCAGCCTGGCGTGACAGGGGGACTGACTCTGCAAACTTTCATGACTCTGACACAACAGAGCTGTGAAATTAGTGTTTAAATTTTCAGGATGTACTCACATGTTTTGCTAGATCAGGCCTATGTGAGCTCCACTCCCTCTTTGGATGGGCAGGGGGGTGATTTGTCTGAGCTGGGAATACTGATGTTGATAAGTCTTTGTTGGACCAAATGTGCAGACATCATATTTGTATTACTGTTATATTTATACATACTACACCCTATTCCTAAGACATTAATATTTGTTTCTCTTTCTCCACAGGTTCTTCTTGAAATTTTTCCTCAAATGTAACCAAAATTGCCTAAAAAATGCAGGAAACCCTCGAGACATGCGTCGATTCCAGGTCAGTCGGACACGCTTCCTCCTTTAAAAATCAGCAGCTGTTAGGACAGAAGTACTTTGACCCAAACTAACCTAGTAATTCACTGGAAGATGCTAAAAACATAAGGTCACAAAGTAATGCCTGAGGACTTGTCACAGCAGAACTGTCAGGAAGTAGTTGGGTTTTCATGCTCTGGAAGAGAGCACTCTTGAAGATAATGTCATCTCCAACGGAAGGGAAAGCATGAAAAGGAAAAATCAAAATGACCTCTCTGTTGTTTTCAGCTATTGGGCTCCCCTGCTCTGAGATATTTCTCTCTCCATGGGGAACTATTTGTTTTCATGGAGACACCAAGTGAGCACCTTGTTTATTGGCTGGGGCAGAGGAAGGTGTAAGAGCAATTAACAAAACCAGGCATGTGACTACACATGTTACTCCTGGCAGTGGTAAAGACTCATGAATGTGCATCAGTGGGATGAAGGTCTGTCCCTGCAGTGAGCACTTGGAGAAAGCTACCACTGGGTGTCTCTTTCTTGGGATGCTTTGGGCTGGTATTTCCCCACTGTTGCATCTTGTGGCACTGGGGCTTGGGGGGTGAAATCTCAGCAAAGCTTCAGATGGCCAAGGACATCTTGTTATGCTCCACCTGTGTCACAACTCATTTTGGGATGAAGAGCATCACTGTCCCTTGGGCAGGTGGTCTGACAGCAAAGTGGAGTGGTGGCAATTCTGAGTAATAATTGTTCCAACACTTTTATTGAAGACATAGTCTATGACTGTGGCAATAATATTTTACCTGGGTATATGCTGAATAAAAATATCAGATAGAAAGTCAAAGGGCCTTCTCTTTTGGTGGGAGGAGTGAATGCAGCCCACAGAGGAAACATGGTAGAATCTGTCTGTGGGACTCTGCCTCAGGGTTCTGAGAAAGAAACAAGAGATCTCTGGAGAAAGACAACTTCAAAATATATCTGCTTTCTGTAGTTACTCAGTTTGCTTCTTTTCCAGCATTGTTGCACTTCAATACAAGTGTTGAATGTTATGTAAGTGGCAATGTTATTTATATGTAGAATGTCTTTTGTTGAACTGCTTAATTGCAGCAATGCTGGAAGGCAGAAGGGTGCTATTTGCCTCTGAGCAGGGAAGTGTAGAAGTGAGGAGACGTGGCCACAGGGATTAAATTAATCAGTTTAAAAGCCAGTATTAGCATGGCAGAACCCTTAGCTTCTCACCCCACACTCCTCCCTCTGTCACGATTCTCCTGTGATTCCAGAGGGCATTATCAGGGAAAGAGAATGTGGGAAAAGGACTCTCACCAGCACGGGGATTTAGTCCAAGCAGTCACCCCTGGGGCCTGTCAGAGCTTGCTTCACAACATGTACACTCTGCTGGGGCCGTGCTCGCCCAGGCTCCAGGCTGATTTTCATATGGAAATGCCTGTGCGTGTTCCCTCAGAACAGCAATCAGGAGCTGTGTCGGCAGGGAGGTAGGACATAGGAAAGGTTGTTGATCTCTTGACTTGTAAAGACATTCTGTCATACAAACCCAGCTTCACAGCAGTTGAGCTTTCCGTGTGTAAACAGAGACTGCTTAATTACACAGGTCATGTCAATTAGCGTGACCTCAGCATTTTCAAGAAATTAATCACTTTCAGCCGAGTGAACCACTCCTACTCTCATACAGGGTGGCATTGAAGCTTGCAGCGTTCTCTTCAGTGCCCAGGCTTATTGTTTTACAATAGCTGCTTTTGTTTCTTCCCTTTTCTTTTTTTTTTTTTTTTAAATTTTGAACTTGTTGGTCTTTTAGCAATAGACTTCTTAAAATAAAACAGCTGGGCTCTACAAAGTCCAAGATTCATTTATCATTTCTTAGGGTGAAAAGGACTGAGTGTACATGTAGTATCTCGATGCTGTGGTGCTCCTGGGTCTTTGAGGCAGTGTTGTGTAGGAACCAAATGAAATCTGTGCCCCTGTGTCTGCTATCAGCTGCCTTTGAATTGTTGCCAGTGACTTACAAGGTCTCCAGTGGTGATGTCAAAGTTCTGGTTAAAAACCATAAGGATAAGGTATTTCCAGATACTTTTAGATGGTGCCATACTCATTTCATACACACAAAAATGGAGATATCTCCATTCCCTTCGTTCCTTCTCCTACTTGTGCTGGACTTTGAAACTGCCAAGAGGTATTTCCAACTTTTGGTCTGTCATTTGTCAGTCCCCAAAAGCTGCTGGAAGTTCTTAGAACACAGGTTATGGTTTTGATGGGAGAATCAGTAGAGGGCCAAGGATGTGAGTCCTGCATTATCTAAGCACCAATCTTGTGGAAAATTTCCTTTCTTAGGAGATTTTAGAGTTGGTTTGGTTTGTTTTCCCCTGTAGCATGGAATTGTCTGATTATCATCTGATACAAAACATGTTAAGAAAGTAGAGGGAGGAGGCAGAGTGTGTGTTGATTCAGGCTCACAATCAGAAATGAATTATGAGGTTTTATCCTGAACTTTGCTTGCAAATCTAGGAGCGTGATAAGTCTAACATAAAAGCTGTTGTGGGCCTGGAAGGAAATACATTTCTCTGCATGTCTGAGATGTCCAGGCATGTGACAAGTGGAGTGGTGTGCAGTGCCAGCAGAGTGTGTGTGCTGGAGCAGTGCTGGCCCTGGCTGTGTTTGTTGTGTCTCTATTAGCACAAGGAGACAGTCAGGGAGGAGAAGTCAAGTACTGCACAGTACTTCAGCTGTGCTTCACACTCCTGCTCGTCCTTGAGGAAATAATTTCATCTCCATGTTTCATCAGCCCAATTGCACAAAACATTTGGTGCTGTTGCGTATTATCACCTTTGCCCAAACTTTTTTATTCCAGAAACCCTCTGGAGCAGATGCTCAGTCTGGTTGTGAACTCTTCATCACAATAAGTCATCATTCTTGGTGGGATGGGCTGTAATGCCCCAGTTAGTGGTAATAATGATACTGCTAATAAGTAGATGGTGTCATGAGTGAACTCTGCTTAGATTTGATTTTTCAGAACTGAAAACTCATTCATATAACCTAAACAGTTTTGTATGTTATTGTAATTAATGAAACCCAGGTGCCCTAGCTGTCTTGTTGTTCTAGTTTTAGCACAACTGCTTGTAAACTGACACATGTCAAGTTTTAATTTAGAGGAAACTTTTCAGGCTGTGTCACTGAATAAAACCCCAAACATTCACTTATTATGAAAACCTTGAAAGTCACTTAGAGATTGCCATGCTGTTTGATTCTGTTACCACAGCCTCTCCTGCAGCAGAGGCTGCTCGTTTGCCTCCGTGGGATGCTGCCACTCATGTTTGAATTGAAGCCACTTGTGTCTTATTGCAAATTTGCATAAGAGACAGAGATGATGCTTCATGAATCCCAGATAATGGAATTTGGACATGCAAGGCTCCATCCCCAGAGAAGAGAAAGGCAAAAAAAAAAAAAAAAAAAAAAGAGACTGAAAAATAGCAGTGAGAGCTGTGGCCCAATTCAACAAGGTAATTAAGCGCCTGGCCTGTCCTTGAGCACGTGAGCAAAATCACTGAATGTATTGTACTCATGTGCTCTTAGTTAGGCACCTTTTGAAGTGTCTTGTTAAATGGAGAGCGATTTTTAGTTACTAGAATAAAGAAGTCAACACATTGTAGGAAGAGGTCACCAAGTGGTGATGAAAATAAAGATGTGCTCAAGCCATTTATAGCTTTGAGAAGAGTGGCAAGCACTGGAGTTACATATTTAACACTTAGGACACACTTCAAACCTGGAAATCATCCTAGCTGGATTTTCTCTGCCTTTGCCACGGGGTATTGGGGATGCTGCAAAAATATCAGATCCCTCACCATACACTGGAGAAAATTGAAAGCACAAGGAAAATGCTGTGTCTTAATCAGTGAGCAAAGCTTAATGGGCTGTGGTTAAAAATCAGGAGTTGTGCAATGCTTAATTTTGATATATTAGGTGAGGTACTATACCAAATAAACAGGCTGAGTGCTAAACGTGGATAAATAGCTTGATCTCCAGGCTCCCGGTCTCTGAATATTAAAGGAAAAAAAAAAATTCTAAGCTCTAAAGTATTCACAAACTGAAGCATTTAATGGCAGGCAGAATAATCCACAGAGCTGGGATACGTTACTGCATTCAATAGTGCCAATTTCATTGAAGAAAGTTGTAAACCCATGTGTTTCTTTCATACCTCTGTCTCCCCTGGTGTTGATACAGGATTTAAATTCAAAATCTGTGAAGGGCTAAAGCTAAAGCTCAAAATCATTTTCCGTGTTTGCCTGTCTCAAATTAAAACTGTGTTTTGTTGACAAAATTTGGAAAGGTTTGAGATTTGGCAGACCTGGTTGTCCCTGTGCTTACATTAATGTGTCAGCACCTCATTAATCATTTATTAAACTGTAGTGTGCCTTTCCCTCTTGCCTACAGTCTGTGTTTTAGGATGCCTTGGTGCCCATTCCACATATACTCTGGCTGTCCCCTCCCCCTAATTTTATGATTTCTCCACAAATTAGTTTTAGCATGTGCTTTAACTTGAACATATCCCAGTCGTTTCAAAATCAAAATGAGGAGAGTGTAGTATTTTTTTAGATTAAAAATATGAGTAGAACTTGTAAGTATGTAAGTGCTCTGCAGCAATCCAAGTAGGTAACTGTGGCACACAATATTCGAGGTGCATTTTTTCTCTATTAATAATTACAGGCATTAATATTTCCTTGGTGCAGTGCGCATTCAGTGTTTCTCTATTAATGAGAATTTTCATTTAAAGAGTTGAGCAGCAAGAGTCTGTTGCTTCTTACAGGTGTGCTATGAATAATATTTTTTATTTTTTTCCAAACAGACACATAAGAGGTTTTTTTTTTTCTGCATTTCCTGAGACTGGAAACAGTTTCACTTGGGGATTCCATTTATAGTTTCTGCTGCTAACGACACCAAAGAACCACACCAATGTGGTCTCTTCATAGTAAATCAAACTGTTCAGGAGGGAGGTAGGAAGATATTGCTAAGTAATTCAAAATGTGTTGCATCAACAGTTTTGAATATCTGAGGAGGGGGAAATTAAATGTAGCTTTACTCACATAAAACTTCAACAGGATTGTTTCCTCAAGTTCTTACACAGAAAGCAGCATGTATAGCAACAGCTACTTAGATACAGGATTTTCACAGCTTTGGGAACTATTTTACTGTTACTACACTTGACTCATTATTCTTCTGGAATTCCATTTCTAAAAGTGTTAAAAGTTTTGATTTCAGCCCAGGATTGATCAGCTTCACTGTGAAGTCTGTGTGTACCTATAGGGTTTTGGAATTGGGGAAAATATTTTATCTTGTAGCCATTGTTATTAATTTTAATTTTGTTAATTTTCATATTAATCAGACCCCTAGAAGAAGATAAGGAGCTGGCATAAATCATGGAGCTGTGACAGGCAATGCCATGGATTTGGCTCAAAATCCCACTTGCAAAGAATTTACAATGGTTGCAAGTGCACAAATAAGATTGCAAACCCCGAGCCACTTACTATAAGATCATATTTTATTGAAAATATCATAAACTTTATTCTACCCCTCAGGAATTCAATGGATAAATTACTTTTGAAATCCCTTTTGGAATTTTATATATAGGGCTTGGGTTTTTTTCTCTCCTTAGTTTGATTTCAGAAAAACTTATCTGTAGTATTTGGTGCTTTCCTTTTCCCAAATTTCCATCTGTAGGAGCTCTTGAATCATTTATTCTGTATTTTAATATCTTTCACTTAAAACACGCACAAAAGTCTATTGCTTGGAATGCCATTCTGAGGGATGGGTTAGGATCTTTTAGATGTAAAATATTCTCTTTTGTATTCGTCTTTTTTCAGAGAAAGACTTCGGGATCTTCTCTGGGCTGTATAGTGGCTTTGCTTACTTTTTGAATATTTTAATTGGGGGCCAGAAATAGGTAGAAAATTTTTCCTTTTGCTCTATTTTTTTTTTTTTTTAGCTCCAATTCAAGTGATGAAATTGAATAGTTGTAAGCGATCCTTTAAGTGTCCCCATTTGACCAACTTTGAGAGGCAGCAGCTTCCTGAGAGAGTTGAAGCAATGTTTGCCAATCCTTGTAAAGCATTTCACCTCTTCAGAGGCTAAAGCCTCTCAAAACCAAGAACAATTAAAGCGAGAGCCTTTCAGAGCGACTGGGGAATTCAGCAAAATAAATCAGAAATCCTCTGCCGTGGCTCTGGAGGCTTGCCTCATTATAAGAGCAGATCTATTAGCCCCCTTGCCATTGTCTTTCATTTCTCAAGTGAGGTGATTCTAATTAAATTAATCTGCATGTCAATCTATCGGTGATCAATCAAAAGGGCTGAGGTCCCCCTTTGCGGCACTGTGCTTGCGGCTGACAGGGGCTGATAATGGAGGAAGAAATAAACTGTCGAGCAAAGTTAATTAGTCAACATAATAGGTGGATTAAACAGGAGCTGCTGATTGCTGTTTCACATGTCGAAGCATGAGGTGGGAGCTGAAACTGCAATTAACAGACAATTATTATATTTGGTTGTAAGAGGTCGCATGAATAAACATATCTCTGTGGGTTTCAGTCTTTAATCCCTTTCCCTGTTTAATGTAAGGAGAAGTGTAGGTCATTTCTTCTTATTGTTTTAGTCAAAGTTCTCGAAGGCAAGGCATGCTCCTGGCAAACCAGCAGCCAGCTGAAGGCCAAGTCTTTGGCTGGGGTAAAACCCTGGGAATGCCAAACTTTTGCTGGGAAAAGGCTGAGGGAGGGGTGGCTGAAGGAAAGCCAGGGAGGCTGAGACTGCTCAGTGTGAATGGGGTAGGAGGAGACGTGGTGTGATGAGCTCACAGCTCTGCAAGGGACTTGTTTCTCCATGACATTTCATGGCTCATGTGCCCTCTGCCTGGACAGGGATTTCCTTTTGGAGCTCCAGGGTTGAGCAGTCCCTCTGGACACTTGGAGCAGCTGGGTCCTCTACTCTGGACCCATCATTTACCTGTTTGCCTCTGCTGGGTTGTCTCCTCTCCTGCCCTGGGCAGCTCTGGGGAGCAGAAGTGTGTGATCCTTCCTCCAGTGCAGTCCTGCTGTGTCTCCCTCACCTCGCCTCAAATCAAATCCCAGGTGTTGACATTGAGATAAGTTGAGAAATACAAATAATTCTGACACTGGATGAATAGGGTTGTGTTCTCCAGATCAAGACCCCACTGTCAAGCATGTGTGTGTGTACACAAACATGCCTATACATACTCCTTAAGACAGAGCTCGGGAGAAATTTGGGGAAGTCCAACAACCTGCAGTGACTGTGCTGAGGGGAGAGCAGCAGAGAAGGGAGGGGGCGAGGCAGGCAACAACTCTTATTACAACTTCACAAAATACACTTTTGTTTTCTTTTATTCTGAATCGATTCTCATTTGCAATGTCAACATCTCTATCTACTTCAGCGTGGAAACTGAAGGATAATTTAGGGTGAAACACAGCTGCCCTTGTGTATAGGGGAAAAAATACTTAATAAAGATCCTCTTGTTAAAATGATGGTTAACAGTGTGCTGTCTGCCACGCAGCTACAAACTCTGCAATTTGACTTAAAACTGCATCAAAAGCTTTCGATGCCAAAGACCCACTCATCAATAGCGCCTCTTGTTAGATTTGTACAGCATAAGCACCAGTTATTATGTGAAATAGCTTTGCAATTTTCTACAGCTCCCAGCTGTTATTTATTTAACTGAGTTTATTACACTCCGCGCTTTTTAAAAAACACACGGATTTATCCAAATTTCCCTCTGTGTTGCTCTTGTGCTTGCAGGTCGTGGTGTCTACAACAGTCAATGTTGATGGCCATGTGCTGGCAGTGTCAGACAATATGTTTGTGCACAACAATTCCAAGCACGGGCGGAGAGCTCGAAGACTCGATCCCTCGGAAGGTACGCCTTCTTATCTGGAACATGGTAGGCAAATCATTTTCATTGGTTGGCATTGCTATTTTAAATGTGGATTTATTTGGTTTGTGTCTCTGGCTGCTGGTTTCAAAATTGTCCTGTAAGCGTTTATTATCTCTGAGGCCAGACATTTGAAAGGGACTGGCCTCCAGACCAAAGGGGGAATTTTTCAAGTAGGTCAGCTCTAAATGTAGTGAAATGACAAACAAGTAAGCAAACATGGGTGCAGAGGTTGTCCTGTGTGTCAGTGAAGTGGGGTGATTTTTTTTTTTTTAATGTTGCTTGCATTTATTCAGCACCCAAAATTGGAGTCTTATTTTTTTCCAGAATGCCCTGATTTTTGACTGTGCATCTGAAGGATGTTGCATATTTTCTGAAGTGCTCAGCACCCAAATTTTGGATGGCATTTCTTCTATCTATAGGGTGCTGAGCCCTCTAGGAGATTCTTCTGTTCCTTTGAATTGCCCTAAATGAAAGCAGAGCCCTTTTGGAAATCCATCTGCTTACTTAAGCCATGTTCTTTTCTGGCTCCAGCTGTGCCAGCTGAGGACGTTGCTTTTCCCACAGCTGTTTGTCTCCCCTCCCTGCTCCAGGCTATTCTTCACCATGGACATGCCAGCTAGGATGGTTGTGTGCTTGCTCCCTGGTCTCCTCCAGGCCAATGAAGTTCATTTGAATTAAACAATTTAAGTAATCACTCTTTGCCAATCTGGCTTGTTGCTGAAATGATTGAAGGAGAAATGGTGCAAGGCAGTTTGGCTTTTCTGGAAGCACAATAAACTCCAGCAAGGGTGGGATGGGGGCACGTGGCTGGAAGCAGCCTGGGGACAGTAATCTCTTCTGTAAGGTCAGCTGGTCCTGGAAGGGAACATCTGCTGGTGACTGTAGGTGCTTAAAATGGGAGTTGTTGAGTGCATATGTACTTTGAAAAATCTGGATTTGATTAATGTTTTGTTTTGCTCTTTGTCCTCAAAGTTGATGACTACTGCTGAAAAACAAAACAAAAACAGAGGGCATTTCACTCCCCTCTCCCTGTTCCAGCTTGGTAGAATAGCTCTTTGTCCTCAAAGCTGTTTGTAATCCTAAATTCAATAGGTGCTTGCTCCCTCTAAGAGATGTGTACCCTCAGCTCCCATTGAAGTAGCTGAGTGTAGAAGGCACCAGTCCTTTATGCTGGTTTGTTTCACAAATATTTGCCAAGGATCTGATGAATAATTAAATAGATTTTTCCAAAGAGTTTGAAGAAACCAGATAAAATTTTCTCTGGGAAAGCAAATGCCACTCAGAGAAATGTTAACTAGATACGTTAAAAGAAATTATTAATGCTGAGAAATGGGAAAATGTGTGGGTTTCTACTGCTCAGTGGATTCCTGTGGAAATACTTTTCTATTCTGTTTATGCTTTCAGGCATCAGTCCTGCAAGCACTTATGCATATATTTAAGATTATGCTCACATATGGTCCTGTTGGGATCAATGAGGCTTCTTGTGTCAGAGAAGCTGAGGGTATTGATAAGTGTTTGCAGAATCGGGTCTGTAGTTCACACTTACTAACCTAAAATTCTTAGCTCAGCAGCGTTTCTCATTATATAAACATAACTTACATCTGTATTTATTTAGCTCTAACTTTTTATGTAGGCTACGAGCCATTTTCAGCCATAATTCATGTTATAGAATTTTTTTTCATCCTGCCAACAACCTAATTTAATAAACAAACCACTGTCATAATTTTTACTGAAATTTATAAGGAATGTATGAACTCTGTCTTTATTAATTAGCAGAAGGCATTACAAAGGGAAACTTCTTTCTGTTCAACTTTGTAATCTTTCCATTAACTCTAGTCTTAAAAAAACACTCCTATTTTTTTTTTCTTGTATTCCTACTAAAGTAGTTGCCATATTTTTTTTTCTTTTTTTTTCCCATTGCAGTCTTCTCAGTGCATGCTTTTGGTTGAGGCAGTACTTAATTTCTCTTACATAAATGGCCTTATTCTCATGCATGGTGGTATCTCATTTTACCACAGCTGTCGTTCCCCTCCTACAACCTGAGGGATTCTGTTGGCAAAAGCAAAAAAGAAAAAAAAGATCATTCTCTGCTTACGTAGCTGCACACACCTGAATTACTGTGCTGATATTAAAAGTCAACATCTTCAAAATATCTCCATGTGTACATTTTGTGGGAAAGGTGATTTTTCTAATCTACTTTCTCAGGCACCTCTCAAGCAACCTCATAAAGCAACTGCTAATAAATTCTTACTTTTGAATAGCAACCTTCACACTACAAAATTGCTCTCTTCCCAAAGGCTTGGTGGAGCCTTCTTTTTAACCTAAATCCTTCAGTCCAGCTCTCCAAGAATTCTCTGAACATGTGAGTCCAAGAAACAGGAAAAAAAATTTGAAAATCCACTAACTGTTGTTATGATGCTATTATGTATCTAAAACACTTAATTAAATAAATAAAAATAAAGGCTTAATTCTGTTGAATTTTGGATGAGACCCATTGGAACAGATGAGAGTTTCCTCCACTAAAATATTTTTTTGCATTCACTTTGAGTCACAAAATGCATTATTTTTCTCCAGTTTTTGGAACTTTTATTTTGGATTGTGTCAGAGGCAGCTTGTTTGCCTCTCTTCTCCCCAGCTTTTCTGCCTCCCTCGGGGAAGGACAGATTGACCTGAGCTGTATCCATGAGCAGGGAGATGGGAAGGGAACGTAGTCATGGTTTGTCTCTGGTTCATTGCTCTGGTGAGCAACTGCTCATCACAGGTTTGTAAAATCTGGGATCTGGCTATAATATACCCTTGACCAAATGTATTCCTGTGCACTTTTCCAGACGTTTAACTCCTTAACACAAATACCTGGTGGCAATAGGGATGAATGCCTGACTGTGAGGGCTGGCGAAAGGGGAGACAGGATGTAGAAAACTGTGCTTGTTCTTGAGTTTAACTAGACAATATCCAGCTTATTTTTCCTTACAATCTTGTGTTTGCTGCTCTGAAACATGGAGTTACAGTTTATGTGACACCTAAAAGACACTTTGGGGGCCAAAAAGCTGGAAAGAAATCTGCACCTTCCGAGCCACTCAGGAGCCTGGTGACTCCACATTTGGGTTTCACCATCTCATTAGCAGGTAGTCTGGATTATTTTTGGGACATCCAACACATCTTTATTTATATCTTGCTCGTCAGACTTTTCACTCAGTAAAGTGAAGGGTTTTTTTGTAGCTCCTTTCTCTGATTATAACCAGGACCCAAGATGCTGGTTTTGTATCCACACGCTGCCCCCTTGAAGCCAGTGGGTTAAGCAGCTAATCTTTCAAATAAATATATCTATCTTTTAAAAGTAATAGCTGGCAGAGGGCAATTATTATTTCATCCATCTCTGTGTGGTATAAATAGGGTAAGCCACAGTAATCTGTGGTTTTCAATAATTATCACTTTTTCATTCACAAATAGTTGGATCCTCACTGGTTTTATATTTATGGTAAACCAGAAAGCCGGTGTGGTTGACCTTTCCAAATTATATATATAGTAAGATGTATAGTCAAGACCCAACAGGCCCCAACAGTAGGATATATTTCAGCTTGTAGTTCATCCCAGGGTGTCAATTTTAAAAGCAAAATCTTCCCAATGAAATTTAAGTGATGAACTTATGGAAGGGGTAAGTTCTGGCAGGGCTTGCAACAACTCTTTTCAAGTTTACCAGCAATAAATCCACAGCAAAGTTTCCAGTTAAAACTCTCATATCACTGCAAAGTAAAAATTCTTTTTTCTCCCCAAATCCTTTGAACGTCTTTACAAGAATGTAAAGCCAATTGCAGCATCAGTTTCTCTATTATTTTTCCTTGCTGGCAGAATGCAATGCCCTCGAAAAATGATAGTCCCTGAGACCCTGTCAGTTTGCATGCTCTAACACTTTATTATCTAATGATCTAATATGCAACAAGGCAAAGAGGGGGTGCTTATCACCCTGACAGGATGCCTAAGAGAAGTGACTAAATTACTTTATGTACCATTAGCAGTAGCTGCCAGGGTGAACTCACTGTGAGCATTTATGCAAATATTTCTGAATACATTCAAGTGGCCTTGTCAGGAAGACGACTGACAAGCAGCTTAAATGCTTGGGGTTTTAAAGGGACAGTTTTATTTCTTTTTTTTCCTTCCTCCTCCATGGGAGAGCACTGAAGAATTAGGTGATGGTGAGGTTTGCTGACTATTTGGTTCTGAGTCAGCTCAACAGCAGTAGCAGATGAAACATGCAGGGTAGAAATAGACACAAAAGATTAGATGTGATATCAGAGTTTGCAGGTGGAAATGGAGATAACAATTTCCAAAACAACATCCTGCTGTTATTTTAATGTGAAATATGCATAAATCTCTGTGTGTTTACATCTAAAATAAGTCATTATGTAGCAAAACCATTACTACTGGTTGCCTTAAACTGGGAAGGATAGTGCAAGGCTGGGTTATTTCATCACTCTATTGTGGTACTGGAGACAGCCAAGCTTTTACAATGTTGTTTTAGCTCATGACAGCATTGAGTGACTCCAACCGTTTGTCTGCAGGTGCAAAACCTCCTACAAGAAATAAAAAGCAGTAGTGGCTGTGCCTCAGCTGCACATGACAGTAGATCCTCTTGTCAGCAGTGGGGCATTTAAAGAGTTTTTCTTGCCAATCCTGCCCATCCTGGGCCATTTAAGAGATCACAGTTACTGCACAGACATTTTCCTCAGATTTGAAAGCAAATTTGAAAGCACCGTTACTGCACAGAGTCCTCAGATTTGAAAGCAAAAATGATTGCTAGGCTGTGCCTTAGTGAATTAGGTGCTTTCTGTTTGGATTATTTAAAAAAGGAAAAATTTCCGTCGCCTTATAAACGATTTTGAGAGGATAATATTTAAAATAAAGCTTTGAGGCTGACTGCCCTTAGGTCTCATTTCTAGTCTGCCAGTAACAGAATTGTTGAGGACAGACATTGGATACCATGAATTCAGTTGCACGTGGTGGGTGAT